CGAATGCCAAGTCGTTGTTCACTTTTAGCATTACCTCGACTTATTAAACGTCGCGATTACTTCTTAATAGGGTTTAATAATATACTAGGTTTTTTAAAGTGAGATGCTCACCTTTATGTCTGTATAAGTGAAATATTTTGCCATGTTTAGAACATCTTAACAATTTAGGCAGTTCAAAGGTAGAAATAAGACAATATGCTTTCTAAAACTTTGAACTGTCTTAGCAATTTACATCACAAATGTCCTGTTCCACCAGTCGAAAAATATGCAAAATATTTCTCTGCATTACAGGCGTATATATCCACGGTTTATATCTTGACGGAGCAGGTTGGGACCGAAAGGCAGGCAGACTGATGGAGCCACCACAAAAGGTGCTTTACACTTTACTTCCAGTCGTGCATCTGTCCACCTACTGCACTACGGACAAGACAGCTGTGACAGCATCCAGTTCAGCCACGTGTTACACCTGCCCTGTCTACAAGAAACCCTCCAGGACAGATATCAACTTTATATTTCCACTGCGATTAAGAACTAACAAAGATCCAAATTACTGGATTCTGCGTGGTGTGGCACTACTTTGCGACATCAAATAATCGAAATCAGAAAAATATAAACAGACTTTGAGACAAATAATTGAATAAATTTAACTTACATAGAGATAAATATTTTTCTTGTTATTCTTGTGCCTATTAGTGTGGGAAGATGAATAAAAGAAACCCTGAAGCATTATAATGATGAAGAAAAGAGAGTTTGTAATAAAGGCCAAATTAGCATTAGAGGGTACGCATATTAGGTAAATTCTAGACCGATTTTTGTGTTACAACCTTGGTTTAGTGAAAAGCATTTTTTTCCAATAGTTTAAGAATTATTATTTTATGCAATGACTGTTGACGATATATTACAGCCAAGTGATCAAAAGCTTATTAGAATTTATTCTTATTTATGCACTTATACATATGGGGATTCGACTGCGAAGAAAATTTATTAAAAATTACGACCATGTCATTAGAGAAAATGGTATCAGCTTTTTATTTTGCACTAATCAACTGAGAGAGACAAAGATACTTTTAAAATATTTTGAATCGAACTTGTGCTGATGTCTCAAGGGACGAATTAGAAAAAAATCCTCATATCAAACAACATACAAGCATTA